CTCCCCTAATTTTCCCATTATTCCCATTATTGATCAAGCTACCTCCTATTCAGGAAACAACTTTCTATTATTTTTAATTATTCTCTACTCTATTATTTATTTTTAAGTCCTTTATTCACATAAGGCGTGCGCACCTGTAATGGGCCGATCCTGGAAGGGACAGGTGCTGCATGTGATTGCGTGCAGCAGCCTGCTCTTCTCTATGGGAGGATGCGGCTGTACGCTGTCACGTGCACACCCGAACTACACATCCTTGCGGGTACGGGTGTCCACAATTGGACGCAGACAGGGTGCATCCTGTCCGTGTCCAAGTGCAGACACCAATACCCGCACGGATGGCAGCGTACAGCCGTGTCCTCCCACAGGGAAGGACAGGCTGCTGCGTGCAATCACATCCCTACTGGGATTGGCCTTTTTATGGGTACGCCCTGTGTGAATAAACCTTAAAAGTTTCCCTGACTTATTATGAAAATCCTCCTCTATGCTACAATTTTTCATCATGCTTGTTTGCTCCCTCAGAAGGTTTTTGAGCCACAGAGGCTAGTGACAACTTGGTATAATTATTGTCCTCTGGGGAAAAATAGATTCCTCTGACTCAGATAAACCTAATCTATAGAAGGTTTATTAAAATGCCAGTTCCCTATTAATTGCTTGCTCTTCCCATTAAGCCATAAGAACATTTGCTAATCTAGGAGCGTACTTTGCTCCCATAGCTGCCCCCTCACGTTTTTAAAGAAATTATGATTGTACCAAAACTAATTGTGGCTCTGTGATGCATGGGGTAAATCTGCTCTGAATTTTTGGTGGCCTCTATTTTCTTGTTTGACTGGGTATTTTAAGCTGTAGTTGCTTCTCCCTACTCCATTTTTTTGTGGCCTTTTTTTTTTGTTTTTTTTTTTTTTTGTGGGCCCAAATTATGCTCTTATTTCTATATGGGATTCCTTATGTATATTTTTTTTTCCTTCATTAATCTCTACTCTAATCCAGTCAGGTTCTCTTGTGGGAGTGCCATTGGCCGTATTGCTTGGTTACCATTTTTTCTTTTGGGGGATGACGCATTAGAAATAATCTGAATCTCTGACTGTTATTTAACCCTTGTTTATTTCTAAAGTCACCAAGGTCCCTCTGAAATGTTTCACTTTTTTCTTACCTCCTGCTGTAGTTTGTCATTTCATCAGTTCTTCTGCTAATACCTTCTATCCCAATAGTTCTTTAACTAGTTCCACTTCCAGAGACCACAAAATAGTCATGTTACCTCACTAGCGCATATTTGCTCCAGTTCTTTATGTTCTAGATGGGCACTAATGTTTTTGGTCATTATCACTAGGTTTAGTTTGTTCATACAGTGTATTGACTCTTTTGGTTAACTGCTTCATAACTGCCATCCTATTCCAGATGTCTCTAAGAGGCACAGCTCCCATGACTCTTGTTCTACCTGGGGATCAACAAGTCCAAGTTCAGGGTGTAATTCAGTCAGCACAGTCCTCGGTCATTCATTCTCCTCAGGTTGCTCCATCAACGGTAATTGCTTCTCACCGATCACCTCTGTATGTATTGTGTTGGATGGAAGTAACATAACCAATAAAAATATGCTTATTTCTTCCTCTGCAGGCTTCTTCAATATCAGAAAGTGAGGACTCGCAGGACTCATCTGACAGTATTGATGCCCCCAGGAAGGCCCGCATTTTATCTCGTCGGATTTCATATGGGTAAGTGGAGACCCATAACTGTTATGTTCCCATAAAGCCACATAGATGATTTAAAGGAGAATTATGAGGCAAGTGATTTTCACTCAGCCTCATAATCTGAGCCGACCTGTGACAATGAAACTGTCACAGGTCGGCTCAGTAGATCGGGAAGTGAGCGAACACATACCGGCGCTCACTCACTTCTCAATCTATCCCTGCAGAGAGCCGTGACTGTCACTCACGGCTCCCTTCAGGGATTCCCCCTCCCCTGTCCGATCCTCCGGAGCTGACTGGCGTAACGGACGGGGGAGGGGGCGGGTACAGCTGGCTCTGCCTCTAGATAGGCAGAGCCAGCTGTCACGCAGCTGGGTGGATCCAGACAGCATTGTCCGGATCCGTTCCGGCTGTGGCGTCTCAGTATACCGTATACTGAGCTTAGGGTGACGGCAGGAAGGTAGTTTGTGTCCTCCCCTTACCCTTAAGAGAACTATGGGGAAAAGCCCTAACCCCATAGTTCTCCAAAGAAAGAAGGCATTTCTTGTATGAGAAATATAAGATCTGTCAATGATCGTTTTAAGTACTTTATTTTCAAAATGCTCTACTTCTTTTTTTCTTTTTTTTTTTTACTCAACACTGCAAAAAAATGTGCCAACAGAACGCACTGCAAACTTTAGTGAAGTATGTCCACTCTGGACATGTCACTTCACATGAAGTTTTATTCAACAAACAAAACAACAAAAACAAAAGCCTAAAAATCGAATCGCACAGAAATCGAAAGGTTCAGTCACAAGGCAACAGACCTTTCGTTGCGATTACCTTGCGATTTTGGTGTGAATGGGCCCTAAATGTTGTGCGGGTGACTGTCTCAAAATTAAAACTAGTGTATTCTCACTAAGTGATAAATGAACAGCAAAGCACAAACTGTATAACGAACAAACATTGCTGCTACATTTAAAGCTAAAATCCAGGTAGACCTATAAGATGATAATAAATTAATACCTCAATAAATAGTTTTGTCTTTTTTAAAGCAAACCACATACCTGAATCTAACTTTGCATCCGCCTCTTGCCGTTCCTGTACAGCAGATCTCTGACTGGGAAAAGCAGCAAAAGAAGCTCTTTAGAGGAAAGAGCAGAGTAACGGAGAGATGGAACTTATTAGTCTTTCTCTTTTCACTGTCCAGTAATAGGGTGGGAAGAGGACAAGACCTGCAAGTGTTACTTAAATGTAGCAGGGAAAAATCGGGTCTGCCCCTAAATGTGTGCTCCCTGATTGCATTTTGAAAGCTATTCTAAACCATAGAAGCTACCTGTAGAGTCCTGTGAATTAACTTGTTTCATAGAAAAGGCTATAAAGTTAAGGACTCCTTTTTCCAGGAATAGGTACAAGAAATCGCTGCTAAGCCATCTGCTGAATGGTGCTTGGGGATTTGTCCTGAGCATTTGGAAACAAACAAGACTGCTGGCAGTGGGTCAGTGGTTTGCCAGGGTGAACGAAATCGGGGAAATGAGAAAGCTTTCTTCAGCCCTTAAGGATAGATCAGGAAAGTTTTCACAATTTCGTTTTTCTGGTACCATTGTTTTGCACTGAGTACTTGCAGCACCTCTAAAATGGTGGTACCCAAGTGGACCTGCTAATGTTTATGCATTGTTTTCCCCTCACCCCCAAACACATAAATTTTTTCTTTTGTTTCTACCTTTTTTTTCTTCTCTGTGCTCCTAATTCATGTTGTCCGCACATTTGCTCTACTGTTACTGTTACTGTTGCTTTTCCTTTTCTAAGGTTTTGAGCATCACCTTTGCCAGGTAAATGGGAAATATGAAACAAAAACCCCCTACAAATCCGCCCTAGAATCTGACAATCAGACCTGCTGATGTTGCAAGTCTGAAAGCTGTCAGCAGAGTCACCTTTTTTTATTTGATATTGTCACACTTCTCACACAAGAATAATTTTGGAAGTGTTTGATTAAAATGTGTATAAGTGCTTGCATTATTATCTCTCTGTAAACCAGTAGTTGTAACTGAGCCTGGCTTGTAGCTTTCTGTTTGGTTGGTGGTTTTTTTTGTTTTTTTTAATTATTAGAAAAAAATATATATTTTTAGATGTGCTGTGTGAATGAGAACACATAACACACATATATATTGGAGATTTCTCAAATTTGACTGCAAAAGTGGAAATGCACTTTTAAGTGACACATTTTGCAAGCTTCTGTATACATAGCCGCTCCAAAATAAAGTATTGCCAAGCTACAACTATTAAAACAAAGTGCAGAGGATGATGTATTACAGGGCCCATACAGACTATTTTTTAATAGTGGACAAATTAGCAGAATTTTAATACTGGCCGCAAGCATTAAAATGTTGTTTGGTTATCCGTTGCAATTTTCTTTATCAGCATAACCGAGCACGGAAGAGCTCCAAAAATGTGACATTATTCAGGGTTTTAGGAGGTTTGCTTTTTGTTTTTGTTTTGCCTGCTGAGGTCTCTTACTTACTGGGTTGTGTGTGGATGCACTGCCAATTAGAGACGTAAGTTTCCATGAGTAGTGCCTACATTTTAGGTTAAGAAATGGACTGTGATATTGATTCTATTGATAATGGATCTATGTGTCTTATTTCTATTTTAGGCAAATATTAAAAGATCTCTCATCTGAAGACACTGGAGATAGAGAACGTGAAGACGGAGCAGGAGCATCTATTGAGCCAATGTCTGCTGCTACTACTATATATCAGACCAGCACTGGACAGTATGGTGAGATTTAGATTGTAAAACACTTTATTTTAGGGCTGCCATCAACTAATCAACACCCAGCAGGGAGGAGAAAGCTGTAAGGAGGCAGAGCAAGAAGGAGAGCTGCTGGATGGTCAGCAAATATATGAAATATTTGCTGATCGTTTTCTGTATTATTCAAACATCATGATCAGTGCTGATCACTATGCTGTTTGTAAATAATTGAGGATATAGTATTCAGATAGTGTGTCCCCAATTATGAATGAACAGGGAGTGCTCTACATCACTTCCTGTTCATTCATGATTGTGGACATAGTAACTGATACTATCTTCTCAGTTTATGAATAGACAGGAGTACTCTGTATAGAGGATTCCTGTTCATTCATAACAGGGGCTGCAGAAAAAGGGATTGATGACTCCGTGTCCTCAATCTCTTTCTCTGTTTTAAAATGGTAATATCGGGTCTGTTTTTAGACCCCTAATAGTTCCCCGAAGCCCCTAACAAAAAAAAAATTTTAAATGGTAAAGAAAAAAAATGGTGGTAAAGTCATTTCAGTTTCGGCTTGGCAAATTCTGGTGCGATTGCCTGCGCTGAAACATGCAGAAACCACAATGCCGTGAGTTCCAGTAGGGTGCAATTGCAACAAATTGCTCATGAAGTTTTATTCTGCAGTAAACTTTATTTGTAACACCATTTCTGTATTTTTATTTTAAATTTAAGGATGGTATTTCATTTTTATTTATTTTTTATTCGATCGAAAAAATTGGCCAACTAATTCTGAAAATGGTTGCAGCCCTACTTTATTTCATTGAAGGGAAAGCATGTTTTGTTTTTTTTCAAGCACATATTTTGAGTTGCTTTTGTTTTTATCCAAAATGGGGGGAAAAGTTTTGGCATTACCAAGCATCATAATATTTAGTTGATACATATGAGAGCTGTTTCCTTTGCTACAGGACTTTCTGTCCATCCGTTCCCGAGATGTGTTCACCCACCAGGCGGCAGAGCCAAGGGGTTGACCTGACTTTTCTTTATAGTTAAAGGATAATTGCACCTCTGTCTGCCCCCCGATTTGTATATTTTAACTGCATGTGGACCCTCCCTTTTTACTGCTACTGAGTAGAAGCGCTTCTCAGTCACATGATCACACTGACCAATGAGAAGAACTTCTGCTCAGAAGCACTTCTCATTGGTTAGCATGCTCATATGACCAAGCTGTGAGTGTTGTGCTGGACCCTTGGTGCGGTGTATGCTGTAGGTGTAGGGACTGCACTCCGGCTAGTGGTTTTGGTTTCACAGGCAGCTACAATGTATGAATAGCGAGGGCGGCCAGAGGTGGAAAAATGCTCTGGGTAAGTTTATCTTCTCACATTTTGAGAGAAAGTGTAGTTACCCTTTAAGCACTACAACCTGTCACACCACTGCCTCCAGCCTGTGATTGGACAGTGTAGGGGCAGCTAAAGCTTGGTGATGAGTCACTCCTCTGCTCCTCCTATCAGAATGTTCTTAGCCAGCTGGTGTGACTGGCTCCCTGTATCAGCCCTCCCTGTCCCAGTTTGAGTTACTGTGTAGTGGATCACTGGAGGAGGATGTTAAATTCAGAATAATTACCCTAGTTGCATGCTAAAATAAATGTAATAATGTTTTAAGGAACCCAGAACGGCATTAACTTGTGTTTTTTTATTTCTGCCTAGAGTTTACATTTACAGTAAAATAGGTGGACTAGGGAATGGTTTCAACTCCTGTGTGTGTATAATCTTATCTCCTGCTTCTGCCAGTTGTATGTAAAATATCCATTTAAGAAATGCCACTTTATACAGATGTATGCAAAATGATGATATTGCTTTTAAATGGTCTGTGCTCACTGACTAGAGCCTCCCATTGTGATTATTGCTGCTCATGTCTGAACTACCAAGGCTAAGGTTGGCTATACACTGTTCGAGTTCTTAAGTTCCTTAAGTCAGCAAAATTCTTTTGATGGCCCTGCCACAGCAACAAAAGTCAATTAAGCAAGCCAGACTGAGGATTTTCAGCCAAACATTTACTGCAACCAACCAGCTGCCGTCCTTGTTCATTTATCCTTACAGTGGCAGGTGCTAGGGGATATCACTCTACTCATCCTTGCGCATGATCCATACCCAAATAGAAGAGGTTATTCTGACAGTGGCAGGTGCTAGGGGATATCACTCTACTCATCCTTGCGCATGATTCATACCCAAATAGAAGAGGATACAGCAGAAGTATGGCACCATAATTGTAGCCCAAACATGGGAGTAAAACAGTGTGGTGATAAAGAGAAGATTGTCATGCACCACTTTCCTCTATAGACTATTTCCTATTCTTTCGAACATGCTGGAACCGTTGGAAAGAAAAATATGTAACCTTTTTAGATTATAAATTCTTTTGGGTGGTAATCCAATTGCTATTTCATGATTGTACTTGTGTTCTTGTATACTTTTTGTATGTCCTCCCCTTGCATAGTGGTGAGAAGGATGATATCTTGTCGGTTGAGAAGGATGATATCTTGTCGGTTGAGACTATCTTGATTTAATCTCGTTTCTGTACTTTATAGTTACCATTGCTCCCAATGGAACACTCCAGCTTGCTACCGCTACGGCAGATGGTGTACAAGGGTTGCAGGCATTGGCGATGTCCAACGCTGCCAGTAACCAGTCTGGAACAACTATACTACAATATGCCCAGACATCAGACGGTCAGCAAATTCTGGTTCCCAGCAACCAAGTGGTTGTGCAGAGTAAGTCCTTCCCTGTATTTATGGTGGTTTTCCATGTAGGTAATAAACGTGCCTTATGTTTTGCTCATTGTTTTATTTTTGTACTTTTCAGCTGCTTCAGGAGACATGCAGACTTACCAGATCCGGACTACATCAACCACCACCTCCCTTCCGCAAACTGTGGTCATGACTTCACCTGTTACATTGTCCTGTCAAACCCAAAAGTCAGATGACCCACAGCTAAAGCGGGAAATAAGATTAATGAAAAACAGGTGAGGAAATGAGCAGAGAAGAACTTACTTTATACAGTGTCTTCACTTTTTTTTTAGCAAGGGTTCTTTAGAATATGTATCATTTTGGAAGATGGCATATCAGTCGCTCCAGTTTTCAGCCTGCAAGAGTTATGTGGGTTCTCGCTCTCCTTAACCCCTTCATGACTGAGGCCCTTTTTTCCATTTTTGCACCCATGTTATATTCCACATTTTAGGCCTGAAAATGACGTAAAACCCCCCAACATTATATATTTTCTATTAGATCAGTGAGTTTTAAATTGAATGAGAAACTCCAACTCACGTCTGAGCCATTTCTGTAAATCTTCTTTTGCAGGTTTGTGTTGTTCACAATACCAGATACAAGATTTACCTGATCAGACACAATCCAATTTTTCTTTAGTCCTCATGGTCTATGTTTCCCTCGTGCCATGTTTTGTGTCTAATCGGATACCATGATAAGTGTACTAACTATGTGTCTTTCATTGTTTTAGGGAGGCTGCCCGAGAGTGCCGAAGGAAAAAGAAGGAATATGTTAAGTGCTTGGAGAACAGAGTTGCAGTGCTTGAAAATCAAAATAAAACATTAATTGAAGAGCTAAAGACTTTAAAAGATTTGTACTGTCACAAAACAGTTTAATCGTTTTTGTTAGTTTATCTACCTTTTTAGATGAGTTTTTTTTTTCTTTTTATACCAAAATTTTCTAAATTTTACATGAGGCCACAGATGAAGCCTTTTTTTTTTTTTTTTCTATTTAGTTTTCACACTTTTAAAGAGGCAGAGTATTGTGATTGGCCACCATGTGCTAATTGTGAAATATTTGAATGTCAAAGGTAAAATCTAAATATATAATAAAAGGAACCTCAGTTTATTAGAGAAGAGTAATTTTATGAATCATGTGTTAGACACATACGATCTAAATTAAGCTCAGTGACTTATGGCTGTCTGACTTTGCGAATGAACTCTGAGTCAGTGGCATGCTGGGATTTTTAGTACACCAGATGTGACCAGCCCTACCTCTAATAGTAAAGCAGAATTTTTTTAAGTGGACCTATCGCAGACAAATATGTCACTTTCTTTTCCCTCACTTGTATTCACTGGAAGTTGGCACCATCTGGCCAGATTAAAAAAAATTGTTTTGGTAAGATTGAGCAGCCATTTACTAACACTGATCATGTTTACTGTGTTTCTAAAGGTGCCCATACACCTTGAAGGGAATTTATCAAAACTGGAGCAGACAAAAACTGGAGCAACTGTGCATGGCAGCCAATCAGCTTCTCTCTTTCGTTTTCAAATCTTAACTGAACAAAGTGAAGAGAGAAGCTGATTGGCTGCCATGCACAGCTGCTCCAGTTTTGATAAATTCCCCCCATGTGATTATTGTTTGAAAAATGAACGCGATCGGGTTTTCGGACGATAATCGGCCAGTGAATGGGAAGTGAATGATCATAATTACTGTACAACTGGCCAAATTTCCTCGACCGGTCAGGCTGGAAAACTTTGCTCAAATCATACGATATTCAGTTCATTATAGTGGTGTTTTCGTACGGAAATAATCGCATCATAAACACTGCACATGCGCAAATGATCGTCGCAATTCGGCCAGTTATTATTGCTAATGAACAATAATCGAAATCTACATTGGTCTGTGCATGCTGGGGTATTTGAGCGTAAATTGAAGGGGGGTTTGATGATGAGACGAAAGAAATTGAACGATAATTGTAAGGTGTCTGGCCAGCTTAAGAATTCTCCTGTCCTCCTGGAGAGAATACTTGTTATGCAACACACTCTGGGGGGCATTTATCAAAACGGGAGCAGACCAAATCTGGAGCAGCTGTGCATGGTAACCAATCAGCATATCTTTCATTTTCAAATCTAGAATGAAGAGAGCTGCCCCAGTTTTGATTCCCCTCTCTGTGTCTAATGATCATCCGGTTCAGTGCTCTTAGCATTTCATGGGCTCAATTAAAGGGAGCTTTTTACAGCTGATGTTCCTCATAAAATGTTAGTATGACAGTATCTATACACCACATTTCAGCTTTTACTCAGCCTCTAGTACTCATGATGGATTATGCGATTTGACATGATAGGTTCGCTTTAATATGTTCAAATAAAGGATTTACAGAAAGTGGAACATCTCTTTCTCATGTAACAGTGGTTTGTTTTTGTTTTTTCCCTTCCACTTTCCTTTTTATTCCAGTTTTTTATGTAATTTGTATGTACATATTTTACCTCCTTTTGGTTAGTCACAGTTTCAGATTAAGGCTTACTTTTACTATAAAGTATAACTTTTACAGTTACTGCTCATTTTGGCAGGCAATATTGTAATTATGTTTGTGGTGTTTACTTTATGAAGTATCCATCAGGGTTTTAAGGGGAAATTTTGACTTATTACATTTGTCACCTAACTTAATAGCCAGAGGACTCTTAATTCATCCAGTTGACCTGTTTGCTGGTTACTGAGTGGAAGAGAGAACATTTCGAATTATTTCAATTTTTGGCTACGAGGTATGATTTACATTTCTATAAATAAATAATGTGTGATTATTTACTTAATTACTTTTGTGCTTCAGCGTTTTATTTTTCCTTCAGACTACCACCACAGCAAGAAGTCATGGTTTACCTTGTAACTCCACTTTAACTCAGTTGTTGCAAGTAATACAGAGTACAATTGCTGCTGTGAAAAACTCTAACCACAATATTTCCCATTCATCTCAGCTATTGAGTTTAAACACTTGTCAGTGCCTCTCAATTACTCATGTACAGGGGGAAAATGAGATGACTTACCAGTATGTTATCAAGTACTTAGAGCTCCTTTACCTAGTTACATTATATCTAGTTTGGTATGTTGCCAGCAGTTTGAGTTTTGAGATATATTGTTGCTATTTTATAAGACTTTTATACTGTGGGAATTTCACTGTTCATGCTGCCTAAATTGGGGGATGGCATATATTTCGGTCTCTGGAGGATTTGATCTATGGGACCACAACAAGGTTACCCAGCCATTTGAATATTTAATAGACAGAAGTCTTGGACATTGTAAGGTCAATCCACTCTTATAGGTTGCAAGTTATGCCTTTTATAGAATTAGATGGGCAGTGTCTGGACTTGGGAGGTTTGTGGCAGCGTTGTCCTATATAAAGCAGTGAATTCACAAATAGACTGTCCCATTTAAAATCTTACAATAAGGTCCATAGGTAGTGAGCAAATTCCACTTTTTTTTTTGGTAATTTTTGTATGTCAGTTTGGCAAGTGGCACATGTGTAGTTGCTATTGAATTCTGGATATCTTTTAGATGCCGGAATTTAAGCTACACTGTGCTGGGGAGACCTCAATCCTTCCGCCTTGCCTGATGGGCGTTCTCACAAGCTGTCGGCTTTCTATCATTCTTGATTGTACATGACAGGATATAGTGAGTTAATAATAATGCATTATTGCACGGGTCAGACCTTATCTTTATCGCCAAAACCTTTGGCTAGGGACCTACATCTTGATGGACCCTGCCACTCTAAAACAGCCAGAACACTTTCCTGTGGCCCTGCGCTAGTGGGATGATGGTCTGGCAAACGCATCTACAGGATGGGTCTTCTGTCTCCCCATGTCAGATTCTATGTCTGAAATGCTGATCTGTGGAGCATACTTGCAAAAAGTGCCTTGAACACATGCTATCTAATAAGGAAATGCCTTTTTCTGTGAATCCTTGGATACTTGCATCAAGAAAGTCACAGGGAGGAGGGAAAGATCTCCTTCTGACCAGAGAAGTTGTCTTAAGCCTACAGTAGCAAAGTTCTCTATTCAGTCCTTTTAAGAAAAGTTCTTTTTTATCCCTCCCAAGCCTCGGAGTCCAAGCCCGGGCCAGGTTGTTTGTAAGTCCCTCCAAATAAAGGGGCGCACCCCACTTTTACTATTTGGGGATGTCTGTCAGCTTCCCAGATATGGGGCATTCACAGCGCCTGAGTCCAGAGCAAGTTTATGAAATGGAGTTTTACTACCAGACACCTTGTTTCCTGCTGTTGAACATGCCAAGATCTCCTAAAAGACTGATGGTTCTTATCACTGCCCTAGATCGAAGGGGGTGGGTTCTGCCCTATTCTCAATCTGAAGTTTCCTGCGAGTCCAAAAGTTCTGTATGGATTCTACACACTGTGATTTGCCTCATTTCTCCCTGGAGAGACTTCCTGGCATCAGTGGATACTGTATATAGAATGTATATTAGCACATCCCCATTTTTCTTACCCATCAATGCCACCCAAGTTTTGCTGTGAATGTACAATGCTGCCAATGTGGTGCCCTTCTATTCAGCCGGCCTACTGTGCCACGGGTCTGCACCAAGGAGCTGCTCCCTGTTTTGTCTGTGCTTCAGTCTTAAGGGATCCCATAGTGGGGTACTTGGACCACCTTCTTAGAGAGCAGTCAGTGCAAGGTTGAACATTCATCAGACAATACAAACCCTGCAAAAGTTCAGATGGTTCCTGAATCTCCCAAAGTCCACACTGGAGCCATCTCGCCTTTTGAGTACCTGGACCTAGTCAGATTCAATCTGTTTGCTCCCAGTAATGAACCTTGCTCTCCCAGAGTCACCCGATTTTTGCTTTTGTATAAATGTTTGTAGCCCCATCACCTTCTGTGATGTGGCTACTAGACATTTTAGTGATGGCCAGGGCTGTAGTCAGCCTGGCTGGAATTATAGTGGCAGTTATCTGGTTAATTCCAGGTGTCTGACATTGCCTGTACCCCCAGGGGGCGGAGTGTGACTCTGACATATGTACAGTACAGCAGCCAATCACTGGGTTTCTCTCAGCCAGTGGTGCATGCTGGGATTGGCTACATATACTGGAGGGATATGCCATGTGCTGAGACTAGCCGGGACCAGCCATGCAATAGGGCTGGGTGTTGTTCAGCCTGTCCCCCAGGCTAGGCCTGGGGTTGGGCATGGGCTGGTGTGAGGGAAAGGTTTCCCTGAGGTCTCCAACATGGAGGAGGCCTATGATGCTGATAGAGGAAGAGAACCAGGACCAATGCTGGCTCTTGAAGTACCCTGGAACTAAGAGGACTTCAGAAGTATGGCTGGTGTCTTTCCTGCTTGAGGATCTATATCCATCCTGCTTAGCTACTACATCAGTTGCTGTCGGCTACCTCCCAAGTGGATCTACACTGATACGCCAACCAGGTCTGGTGAGTCTGGAGCTCTTGTCGGTAGCCCTGGAAGCTTAGAACCTATATACACACTCTCTCCCCTGTGAAGAACATACCCTAGACAGACTAGAGATGAACTGGCATTCAGCGGCTCCTTTGGGGGTGAGCGCTACATGTTTATAGACCTCCAACCAGGTGCTGGAATCGGGGAACTTCTTGGTTCAAGGGACCTGATCAGTGAAGGAATCTGAACTCCCAATCAAGATCCTAGATCTTGGGGGATTTGGTTGCCCCTTTAATGCTGGACCCCTCAGTTAATTCATTTGGCACCAGAAGTTGTGCTGCTCAAATGAGAGGACCTGTTACTTGTTTGGATGGCACACGTCTCAGCACTGTCCCCCATACATATTTCAGTCATGGAAAATTGGAAGGCAGACTCCTGGACTCCAGAGAATTGTGCCTTTTACCATAGGTGTTTTGGGCCTTTTGTTGCAGTTTCAACAAAGTAAACAACTTTGTCGCCAAGAATCTCTGGGCCCTTACAGTGAATGCCTTGGTGACTCTAGGATTGTTTCAGCCTGATCTACACCTTCCCTCCTCTGAAATTCACCTCCTTCGTGAGATCAAGACCGGGCATTCCATAGAACTTTATTGCTCTGAACAGGCCCAGGAGACTGTGGCATGCAAACATAGTCAAACTCCTTACAGATTCTCTGATCAGTAAGACCTCCTGTCCAAAGCATCGGTATTCCACCCCACTTCTTGGTTGCTGACTTTAATGGCCTAACTGTTGAACCTCGGGTGCTGAAGGATGCAGTCATCCCTACACTCATGAAAGCTAGGTAGTTTACCTACTGCAAGCTCTATCATTGCACCTAGACTTATTTTGCTTGGTGCGAAGTTCAATCCTTCCAGCCTAGACCAACATTTATCCTTTGAGTACAATCAAAGATAAAATTTCTGCCTT